GACTCTTTAAGTACCAATACTTTTTAAATTTGATTAGCGTAAAATTCTAAGATTGTTACTCCCTTGCCTTCTTATCAGGGAGCATTGACTGTGATGACTGCATTGCCAGCTAGAGTCTGTAACATTATCATCAGGAAGACCAAGCACTCGTGATATGGGGATTACATGTGAAATGCTTCCACATATAATGGCTTCTGCCTTTGGGGTTATCTCTTTCCTAGCTCTGACCTTCCCTCCCTCACTTTGGGTCCCAGTTATCACTTTCTGCTGTTGTCAGCGTGCACCTCCACACCACATTTGTTTCTAAGCAACTGCCAAACAGGACACCAGACAGGAAACCTTGCCACAATTGTGCAAAAAGTTAGAAAAAATAAGTTCTGAATGTGGACCCAAGGGATTCTCCAATGAATAAATTATGAAACCATTTGAAATAACATAAGTTTGGTTTTTCAGAGGCCTGTTTTCCCACCCATTCCTACACCCCCACCTCAGGCAGAATCCACCACTGTGGGCCCTGAGCTTCCACAGCACAAGGCATTAGAGTTAGTAATACGTAAGAATATCTCCTGATAAGAAGGGACCATGTCTTCACCTATTTATTGGCAACTCTTAACACACTGCCTGGCATATTCAATTAACACTTGTTGAATAAATAATTGTTTGTACTATTACCAGAGTTTTATTTACTACTACTGTCTGTCTGAAGTATTAAGGGGGCTATAAAAAGGGCCTAGAATCTTTTATAGGGATTACAGCATTAACTAGATTGGTAGGAAACTGGAAAGTAGAAATACTCTTTTCCCCCCACAGTCTAAAACACATAGTTTGCCACACACAAACTTCAGATAGTAAACTTAAATTTAAGTCACTGCTATAGCACTCACACTATTCATTTACCTTTGTATTTAAAAAAAAAAAAATCTTCTTCTATAGTAAACTCATGGTTTACTATAGTTGACTCCTAGCCAGTAAAAGAAAAATAAGTAACTTCCCTGGCCCTTTACATTATCAAACACAGACATAATCTAAGAGCAGACTCTTGCTGTAGCATCTGTGCAAACACACACACACACACACACACACACACAAATAGTTGAGACACCCAAATTTAGTATCCTAATTTTAAAAAATTGGTTTTTTTAAAAGTTTCCTTAGTAGATAATTTATTAAAACATACATTCCCATGTTTCTGGCTTCGGCTTGACTTAGATTTTCTTCTGGTCCTACTATTTTTACAGTACTGATTTCATGTTTAGCTTTATCAAAAAATACCTTGATGTCCTTTTCATGATAGACTTCCTGTAACATATTTTAAAATTTGAAAATTAGAGAGAAAATAAGATGACTGAAGTATTCATATGTAGAGATTGCTTCACATTCAACAGTGTGAATTCCACAGTTCACATATTCATTTAATTACACTCAAAATAATAACTATATTAAGCACATTGTATTTAAATACCACTTTAAATGCTACATGAAAAATCTAAAATCCATACATATCAATATTCTTAAAAGAGAAGATAAACTTCAAAATTCTTTTAATATCTACTGCTAGGTAGGTCCTTGCATAAAAATTTAAATCCTCCACAGGTCCTTGAATAAATACCTACCTAAATCCTGAGTACTATAAAATGTTTCTAACTAGAGGGAGAAAAATTGCTTGTAGCCTGAGAATCTTAGACATTTGTTTGAAAATACCCAGAAAAAATGTCTACTAAACCTAATATATATTAACTTGAGTTGTAAATTTAAATAATCACATTTCACAAAATAAAATCCTATAAAAATTTTGTAGTCAGAAAAAAAAAATGAATGGTCACATATAAAATTTTGATTTTAGAAAAAAAGGGGAAGTTTAATGAAATTTTATTAACATAGAAATATAATGGAAAAATCATCAACATAAAAATTATCAATTTAGTGTGATTCAATTGTGCTGAAATTCAGATAAGATTATACATCTCCATCATTACAGCACTTTAAAGTTTTTTATGTATCAAATCCCACTAAGTTTGCTGAAAATTTGATGCTTTTCACAGCTTGTTAAAATCACTTAGACAAAAGTTGCATAGAATTAATCTTAAACAGAAGAAGAGAAGATAAAAACTCCTGCTAAGGAGTTTGAAGCTTTATGCAATCAGGAAAAATATAAGCAAAAGACACAATTCATAAAAACAAAACACTTTAGTGTATGTACATATATATTACAACAATTTACAAACACTTAACGTTTCTCCCTCTTAAACTCATTTAAGCTGATTTTCTGTACATTTAAAATATTGTTTGGAAAAGGTGAATGATTAGCCAGCACATGCATTAGGAAAAAAGAAGAGTGGTAAACAAATAGCATTAGGACAGAAGAGAGAACATGGCATATTTCACAGCTGTTTAGTTTTTCTAGATGGTGTTAAGTATCAACTGGTTTTAAGAGGAAAAATATAAATAAATGGAAAAATATTGAGAAAAAATGTCTTTAAGTTTAGATTATATGTGGGAGGTATTTGGGAGGCTCTGAATATTTCCAAAGGAAATGACAGTATCGAAATCCTTTGGGAAAGAGCATGCCATTATGTGATTAATCAAAACAATATTTTATCTGGAAATTGCTTCAATTTCTGATATTATGGTATTATCTTAAAAGCTGCAAACAATTTAATGAAGAGTTCTGTAAAATAAAGTACCAGAATTAACCCAAAGGCAAAGAAATATAAGCTCATTTGACATCTTCATTATATCTTGAGTTCAGCTACATGAAAATGGACATTTAATATTCAGTCATTTTGATCCACAAAAACTGGCAGTTTCATGTGGCTCATCCTAGTATTATGCTAGTTTCTAGGTTCTAGAGTGCATAGGTACTAAAAAGGCAGGTCTGTAATTACTTCAAAAATTATCGACTCAACTTAGCCCAATGAATTTATTAAGACACAAATAATAAATAGTTCCAAAGACAAAAATAGTTTTCACATAAAACAGTCACTTCTCAAATACTTACTTTGTTATGAATAAAGAGTTTAAGTGCTTCTTTTGGGTAATCCAAGGTCAACAATATGTCCAGAAATCGAGGTAGGAAAGGTGTTGGTTGCTCAATAAAAACACCTATTGTTACATTTGGATGGACCTTTTTTTAATACCAAACATAAAAACAAATTGTCATTAGTGTGGTTTTATTTTAAATTCTTTTCAAATCTTAATCAGTACAATGCAAAAAACACTAGAATCTCAGTTCAACATAATCTGCTAAAACCAAATTGATCTATGGCAGCTCTTTAACACTTGGAATAAATTTTTGTGGACCTCATCAAAGTGATTTTACTAAATCACATCTTGGTTATGAGTTAGGTTTAAAGAGGAAACTCACGATAATATTTATTATATGGATGTAGTTAAGGATACTGCCTACTCTAATAGTCAAGCTTTTTTTATAATAGCCCTTGAATAAACTTCTTTAGATCTGAATGGTATCTTCAAAGCTCCATCTAAATAACCAGAATGCTAATTGTGTTTCCCTTTTTGTTTTCACGGCTTGAAGTTCAGCATTAGTTTGGAGCCACATGAAGTAATCATGAAGGACTTGAGCCTTTATTTCTATCATTGAAAATCTCATTTTACTGATAGTCTCTTATTTTCCTTCATTATTATATATAAGGAAAGCTATTCCCTTCCACGAATATATTTTATCTTAATGTACTGTATCTGTTTTCATATTTTTCCACAATTCCTCTTTAGGTATGTTTTAGTGTGTAGTTGATTTTTCATTGATTGCATTAAAACTCCTGAAATATCCTTTATACATGTTAGGCCTCTGATGGGCAACATTTAGCAAAAGACATGAAAGTTCCTGGCTTGAAAAACTTACAACAGGATAGGCAAGACAGAAACACAAGTAAACTACCATGTAACAGTGTTACTACCAGAACTGTATGGAAGACTTCTTAACACTCCCTTTTCAAAACCATGTCTTAAAGTCTGAAGTGAAGGATTACAGAGTTTTTTAAACACCACATGTTAAGTGATGAATTAGGTACCTCTCCTATCTTTTCACACATGATACCTCACACACTCCTCCATTATCTGTCCTGTAACATTTGCATAGAAATATACCTTCTACATTGTTGTTGTTCTTTAGTCTATCAATCCATTCACTCACCCAAATATTTATTATTAAATGAATAAACAAATACAGGGAACTAAACACAAAATATCTACCCTCTACAAGTTCTCAATTTAATATGGAAAATAACTAAAAAGTAGACACAACTCCCTCTTTTCAAATGAGAATTTCATGTCAATTTCATAATAGCCTTATAAGTTATTTATCATCCCAAATTTACACACGAGGAAAATGGGATTTAGAGGAGTTAAGTAACCCAGAACACATAAACTAGTAGGTGAGGAGCTGGGCTTCAACATGCTACATCACCATTATTAATCTAAGTTGATTTTTATATAATTAAGATGCTACTACAACAGTTAACATTTATTAAAGGCTGACAACTTCACATATATAAAACACTTATACTTATAAAATATCATTTTGTCATATATTTTCATCATACATGTGTGTATAAAATTTCACTTAACCCTCCTATTAACCCTCTGAGATGGCCACTGTTATTTTTACAGAAAAAGAAACTCGCCTATGGTCCACATCTACAAATATGGTAGGCCTTAACTATCTGTGCAATTTTAATTTTTATATCCCTATTGCATAATAATTACACATAGCACATAATTTTATTTAACAGAAAGCATATAATTTTGCTTAATGGAATGAATAGTTTTCCTTTCTAGCACATTTTAACAGACTGTAAGACAAAATAGCTTAAGAATCAAGTGATTTACTGCTGCATGCAAAAAAAACAAAAGATAAAAAGGTTTAATAAAAATATTATTCTACCTTTGTACCAGTAAGTTTATATAAAAGAAACAAAAAAACAGATAAGAAGTATTTCCTCTCCCTCCAGAGGACAACACTACTTTCTGCAAAAAAGATCACAATGAATTTTTATACATCTTCCTGATGCAGCTTCATTCAGAAATATTCTGGCATTTTTTCCCAGATCAGAAACATTCATTTACTATTTGACAGACTAGCCAAAATGTCTTATTTTCAAGTAAAATAGGGCTCTATTCAGAAGCTCCTAGAGGTATACAAATTACTCTTTATCCTCTTTTCAGACAGGGATAAGCATAGAAACTATTTAATTCAGAAGCTTAAGTATGTTACAGTAAAAGTACATAGCATTTGCATAGGTCTAGGAGTTCCCAGAACTACATTCCTGGGAGTTTTATTTTTGCCTATATTGCTTCTACTTATTTGTCATGCTGTATGTACTTAATAAACTTATGGGGAACGAAGGAAAGAATCAGCCTTAATGACAAAATCACTCCCTAGAATATAATTGTTCATATATATATAATATTCTTCTAAGTTACTAGAGCAATTTTTTTTTTTGGAAAAAATGCTACTGCAGGATATCTTAAAACTGTTCTGGCTGATGACAGAACAAGAATCCATACAAATTTTTTATAGATAAATAATAAATATTTCCAACTGTTCATCCTCAAAGTATAAATGATAAAATATAGCTATAATTCTTAATGAAATATATATATAAGGAATACCATGCCTGGCATATGCCATGTTCATGACATATAGGCAAAATTGAGCAGTGGTCAAGAACACAGGGTCTGGAGCCAGATTACTTAAGTTCAAATTCCTACCCCAACACATAAAACTTGTGTTCCCTTCAACAAGTTACTTACTTTTATGCACCTCAGTTTACTCATCTGTAAAACTAGGTCAATAGCACTATCTACTTTAGGGTTTTCATGATGCTTAAGTGAGTTACCATATGTAACGCACTTAGAACAGTCCTTTAGTAATATAATCATATATTATTTTTTACATCAAGCTTGAAAATCAAGCATAGATAAAATTAGACAATAAAAATGCTGAAGTATTGTAACCATTTTTCTCAATGTGTGGATCAAGCTCACAAACTAAAATAACACAGGCATACCCAATCACAGCAAGCTATTAAATATTAACAACCAAACTCCTCTTACTGGGTTCAATAATCAGCTGGTTTTGCTTTCAAAAACAGTTCAGAAACACACAAATCTCTCAATTTTCTGTGTAACCATGTTTTAACATTATAAATCCATCATCCACCATACAATCAAAACTATAAAATACTTTGCTTTTTTTCCCTATAAATTACTGCATTTCATGACAACGTACTATTTACTACTGCATTTCACACGAAGTCAATTACACTTACATGTACTGCAGACAAGTCAATTGTATCAAATTCACAAAGAGTGCAGCCATTATCCTGTGTCCATGAATTAGGTACATAGTTTCCAAAATAATTCAGGAGAATCTAATAAATGAAGAAAATGTATTAACAAAAGTAAGCATGTGCCATCAATGTGCTTTCATTCTATAATCATCTAATTTCAAAGCATATTTTCTGCATTAGGCACATTCCTTCAGTAAGTCTACTAATATTTATCACCTATATATGCATACTGAACAAAGTTCTCTCCAGACTATGGAATCATAAAACCAAAGCAAACTATGTCTAGATGTGGCAAAAAAAAAAAAAAAAAAAAAGGGTTATAAATCACAAAGATCACTTTATTTCATATTATTGAGGAATAACACCAGAAAATAAAATTATAAAGAAATAGGTCAAAAAACAGTTTTAAATGGCTAATGAGACTTACTAGCAAAAACACAAATAAAAGCAGTTGTGTGAATAGTAATTTAGTAATAAAATAAATATGTTTAAAAGCTTAGGACGGACACCTACAGTAAACAGGGCAGAGGCAATGTGACCTCTTACCGACACATCAACAAACAAAATGAACGCCGAGTAAAGTATATCACCAAAAGGCACTGAGTTCTTTCAAGAAACTATAGTACTATAAAGTAGGTATCTGGACAGTGATTCGGTGGCACTGACTTCAGGAAAAGATACCTTCTGTATTAAAACACCTAATGCAGTTCCTAATTACCGTTACCCCACAAGTCCCATTAACAAGAAGCTAAAGTATAATACTGCTTCCTCACCCACCCCCTCTCAGTTTCTCAAAGGCTCTCCTTTGTGACTTATCTCTCCTATTCCTCAAGCAGCTATTGGCATCTGTACAATCTGTTCTGGTGTGTGTTTGGTGGGGGTTGCCTGTGAAGAAAGACAGATAGGAAAGAGAGGTAAACACACTAAGATTTGCTCAGGCCCTCAAACAAATCTTGAATATCTGTACAGTTGGGACATTTTAGGAAAAATTCTGCTGATAAATAAATAATAAATAAAATTACTGTACTTTCTACTGCAATTTTAATACCTAGTAGTGATATGATCACTTGTGGGTTTTTTTATTTTCACAAATTATAATGATTTTACCTTAAGTCAGTGAAGCTGTAACAAACTAGTTTTGAACGTGATTTATATTTCTGTTAAAAGGAAACACTTGGGCCGGCCCCTTGGCGCACTCGGGA